GGAACGATTTCGGAGCTACCCGTCGCGCACCATATGGCGTGTTTGCGAACGGAAGAATCGATGCGACAACGGAAACGAGACCACCGTGGCCGGTTACGCGACTGCGTCCGGTCCTCTAACCGTGCTGTTGGTCAGGGATGCCGGTCACATGGTGCCAGCCGATCAGCCAGTTTGGGCTCTTGACCTCATCAAGCGATTCACGTCTGGCCAAAAGTTTTGACCAACAGTGACCAGTCATGATTGTCCGATGAAAATTTTTTACTACAGTCAAGTTGTTACCATATACGATATACCTTATACTCCCAGATCATTGGATCATAATATCTAACTATGTAAGCATACCGCTACGCTCGTTCGGTACTCCGGACAGCTGGCCGTACCAGGGCATGGTGAACGTGCGGGCAAGGGCGCTGTGGTCGACGGGCTTCAAGCGGTTCGGTTTAAGTTGATGCGATTCAATACCATAATATTATAAATATACTTAATGTAATAAAACTAAATATAATACATAAGTACTCTAATTTATATTATAAATATACTTAATTTTTTAAAAAATATGTTTTTGATCAACGATATTTTTAAACTTTTTCAACAGAACCTGTAATCATCAGTAATTTTTCCAGTTATTATGTGTTTAATAATAATTATAATTTGTATGTATACTGTTGTAGTTGTCAACACTGATATTATTATTATTATTATTATGTACACACACGCGCGCACCCGCACACGCAGATCTATTATCTAGAGACTACATGCAAGAGACCTTTACAGAGGAATTTGATACTGGGCCTACGGTGCATTGTATAAATAGATTTTACAACAATAATCTTCTAAATATTAAAACAGAATCTGAATTAGACCCAGTTCTTAATAAGATAATCGAGTACTATTACCAAGGTTGGCCAAATAGGAAACACATAGATAAATCAGTGCAGCTATACTATAACTTAAGAAACGAAATAATTATTGAAAATGGTATAATATATGTCGCAGATAAAATAGTGATTCCTACTAAGCTAAGGCCCCTCATACTTAAACTGCTACATGAAAGCCATTTGGGATTAAATAAAACAAAATTAAGAGCAAAACAAATTATTTATTGGCCGGGGATGTTTAATGAAATTGAACAATTTATAAATAATTGCAACACTTGCAATAAATTTCAAAATTCAAATAAAAAAAGCCCTCTAATTCCTCATGAAGTTCCAAATTCCCCGTATGAAAAGGTAGGAGCAGATATTCTATCCTTTGAGGGTACAGACTATTTAGTTATTGTTGACTATTACTCAAAATGGTTTGATTTAATTAAATTAAAATACAAGACTGCTAGTGAAATAATTAAAAAAAGTAAACAAATATTTAGTACACATGGTATACCAAAAACCTTCATAGCTGACAATATGCCGTTTAACTCAAGTGAATTCATAACTTTTTCTAAAACTTGGAATTTCACAGTTGTTACATCTAGTCCCCATTACCCACAAAGCAATGGCCTAGCTGAAAGGACAGTACAAACTAGTAAAAAATTACTTAAAAAAGCCCTAGAAGAAGGATGTGATGTAGAGGCAATGCTTCTAGAATATAGATGCACCCCAATAATCAGTCTGCAAGCATCTCCAGCAGAACTATTATTCAGTAGGATTTTAAGAACTAAATTACCAATAGCTAACAAATTATTAGAACCCAGACTCCAACATAAAGTACAAACTAAACTAAAAGCATTCCAGCAAAAATACAAATCCAATTATGACAAAACAGCTACCAAAAAAGAAACACAATTTAAACCTAATACAAATATATTAATACAAAATAATAAAGTGTGGTTACCGGGGAAGGTCATAGCTAAGGCAAATGCACCCAGATCATACCTTGTTGAAAACAATAATGGTACAATTATCAGAAGAAATACTAAACACTTAAAAAATACTAAAATTAATGTTACAGGAAACAGTAAGGAGGGAAACATAGAGGGGAAATCAAAAGTGAAAAATAAGTCTAACAAAAGTGTCTTGGTGAAAGAGCTATCAACCAGACCCATAAGAAAAAAAAAAGTACCTAACAGATTTAAAAATTTTGTAATGTAATTTAGCATAAACCATTAAAACCAATGTAACCTATTATATACCTGTCAAACTGTACTATTATTATGATCATTATATTATGTGTTGTATTATTATTATTATTATCATCATATTCAAACTGTATTACTAATAATTTTGTATTATAACATTAAATACTATGTAATATTGTATTCAATTATATTTGTAAGAAAAAGAGAGATGTTGTAGTTGTCAACACTGATATTATTATTATTATTATTATGTACACACACGCGCGCACCGTCAACCGTTATGCATCTCAGCACTCTTTTTGTATCTTTGTATCTTTGTATTCATTTGTAAGTTATAAAACATATTAATAAAAACCACATAAAACATATACCTAATGTATAATGTCGTAATAATATAGGTACCTATATAGGAAAATGCCTTTACTTAAGAGTTAAGACCATAGGCGTGCGCACGGGGCGAGCCGGTCAAGCCCAGGCTCCACCTGAAACTTTTTAGGGGCATGGTAAAATGTGCGTATATATTTAAATATTTTATTATAACGCTCTATTATAATAATATGTTCGTGGAGATCATAAAGTATAGATCGACTTCACAAATCAAAAATATTTGTGTGTACCTATGTACTACTAGATACATACATTTAAACGGCCGGTTACTCGACGGAGTCTGGTCCGCTAACCGTTCTGTTGGTCATAGATTCCGGTCACATGGTACCAGCCGAGCAGCCGGTTAATGCGCTCGACCTCATCAACCGGTTCACGTCTGGCAAAATGTTTTGACCAACAGTAACCGGTCAGCATCGGTCCGTCGACGAAAATATTTTCTACAGTCGAGTTATGATAACATATACCTTCTACTCACAGAACCTTGGATCATATCTACCTATCTAAGCATAGACCATGCCCGGTCCTGTGAATTCAAATTTAACTTGAGATTCAGGGCGATAGTTTAAACGATAATTATAATATAATATTATGTAATATATATCATCACTTAAGAAATTATATGGTCCACGAAAATTTTTAGTTTTTATAACTTTTATTGTGGAATGAAAAACTGTTTATTTACTAGGAATTCTAATACTAATATTAGTATACTTCTGAGTTCTGAAGTTCTTAACTATTATTAAATATTAATTTCTATAACTGCGTGTATGTATTGGTTGATCGTTTATCTGGCATCCAATCGCGCGCTCTTTTACGGTGTATAATATTGGTAATTTAGACAGGGGAGGACCATGAGTATAATGTCTATGATAGGTAGTTATGACTATTATGATACAATTGAAATCAATATCGTTGGAGTTTAGACAGTCTATATATGCTATGCTCAGTTCTTTAAAAAAACAAAAATACGCAATTTATAAGCTATACTCTGGTCTTGGTAACTCGATAATCTCGAAAGGTAAAGGAACTTTTTTTCATGATTTTTGAATATACACTTAATGCGGCATATTTAGGTAAACATTTAAACAGCATGCTTAACATAATCAGAATGGTATCAGTAGTGTGCCAATAATATTTTCAATTATTTTTAAACTGGCCTTATTTCATTTTAATTATTGCATGTACTATGTACTTAAGTACCTTTATTTTACTAAATGTAAAATTGTTTCAATATTCATATTTTCTATGTGCACAGTCAGTAATTTCGTATATTTGGATTTTAACTCGTAAATAAATATTATATAATATTATAATAATTTAAATATACAATTTAAAATAATTATTGCAATTAACATAATTATAAATTATAATACATTAATACCATAATTATTTTATACTACTTATAGTTTGGAATTATCTATATGTAAGGCCCTACGTCGTGATATTATTTGACATTACGGTATTTGAAATACACAAATTTACAAAAAAATTAATTTGCACAAATAACATTGGTAATTAATTTATACAAAACATACATTATACTTTTGCAATAACAATAAACAGATTTAAAATTAAATCATCATAGGTATTTGTGTACGATTATATAGTATAATTATTTTACTTGGCGTATTTAAAATAATTGATCTATTGTATAAAAATGTTTAATGTAGTAATTTTGAAACATTTTTTTTTTCATACCTATAATATTTGTGTATATATCAGAAGTAAGAGGTGTGAATTAGGTATCAATTTATATCAATTAATCAACAATCAAGAACACCCACACCAAAACATGTATAATCATCATTGTTATTATCATTATTATTACTATTATTATTTATTTCTACTACCTAACCATGTCTTATATAATTATATATATTATGTTAATATCGGTACTCGCGGCACACACAATTTCAACGAAAGGTATGTTGTAATATCGATGTAACAATCAATTTAGCATATTAGGTACAAATGTACAATAATTAATAAACAACCGTAAATGGGGACATCAAAACTAGCACGAATAAGTAGTGTGTCGACATTATGAAGACACATAGATCAGCAAAATTTATTGTCAAATCGATGCACTAGTTATAGGCATGCGAGTAACATACAAGACACCTATCTCTTGGAACTGAGTGGCGAACGTAAGCTAATTCCGGGAGCAGGCTGTCTTTTGTGAAGTGTTATTTATTTTATTTATTTCAGCGTAATTCAATTTTAATACAATAATAACTATAATATTATTAAGAGCTGTTGCGTATATAAACTGAGCTAAGCTCGTATCTGGTATACGGAGTTCCTATGGAAAAATACAATATTTATAATATATGGTAAAATGGAAGTGTTTTTCCTGTTACGGCAGTACATCCGTAAGCATTATATCTTTATTTATTTATTTACAATCATTAACTACCAATTAAAATCTTAGGATAAAAATTATTATTTTAAACTATAACAGTGTAACCATTGCTGTGCCATTCGCCCATTAGTTTCTATTCACCACCTTTTACGGTACGTAAGTTATTTCATTCAAGCCATGCGTCTTGACACTGCCTTAGCGTGGTTACTTAGCCTTTCCACGTTCGTATGCAGCTATTCAGCGGCAGTAGAAGTAGGCGACGGAGACCTGCTCCTGACGCCCTTAATACGGGCTGGACGAATCGACGAAGCTCGGGCTGCATGCAATGTGACGCCTCTGAAGGGAACCATCGAGAGCTACTCCGGTTACCTGACCGTGGACGAGGCTCACGGTTCCAACATGTTTTTCTGGTTCTTCCCGGCCACGAGCGGCAAAGCGGACGCGCCGGTCCTGTTGTGGCTACAAGGTGGCCCGGGCGCGTCGAGCCTGCTCGGCGTGTTCAACCTGAATGGCCCATTCTCGGTGTGCAAGGGCTGTGGCGGTGAGCTCAAGTTGCGTGACCACGCGTGGACGGCTACGCACTCGATGCTGTACGTGGACAACCCGGTGGGAACAGGGTTCAGCTACACTGGTGACGATTCCGGTTACAGTACTGACGAGATGGATGTCGCCCGGAACCTGTACGTCACCCTGGTGCAGTTTTTCGAGCTATTTGCCGAGTATCAGCACAACGATTTCTATGTGACTGGTGAGTCGTTCGCTGGCCACTATATCCCGGTCTTGTCATACGCCATTCACCAGAACAACCCCGGGGCCAAGGTCAAGATCAATCTCAAGGGTCTGGCCATTGGCAACGGCCTAGTAGATCCTCTCAACCAGCTGTTCTACAGCGAGTACCTATACCAACACGGGTTCATTGACGGTAAATTCATATTTTGATACTATGTCACACACGTTGTTCTTATTCAAATAATCATATTATAATGTTGAATCCGGTAAAAAAAATCACCAAAAGGTATCCTTATTTTAAACACTTATACCTACTTGGTTAAAAGGTTTTTGAGAAAATTATCTATCCTTAAATTAATTTAATAAAGGCAAGGTTTATTATTGAAAATTCTAAATAATATTAATTCAAATACATTAAGTTTAAGTTTAATACATTACATATATTAAAAGTATAATATTGTAAATTACTTGCACATTTGAAAATATGTATTTACAACTTATACATATTGTAGTCACACAACACATTCTTAATCTTAGTGTTTACCATAGTTTAAAGATATTATGTAATACAATAAACAAGATTATGATGAAAATATATTATATATTATACGATAAACATATTATTAAAACAAACGTTATTTGAAACTGATACAGAAAACGGAAAGCACATAATCGAACAAATCGATAATGTTATTCACTCTCAGATCCTCGGCGGCGACTACGAGGGCGCGTTCCGGACGTACGACGAGATGTTGAACGGTATATTCTACCCGTACCCGACCATGTTCCAGAACCTGACCGGCATGCAATACTACTACAACTTGCTGTTGGACCGGAAACCGCCGTCGGACAACGATTGGATACAGTTCGTGGAAAAGCCGTCCGTGCGTGCCGCGTTACACGTTGGCCAACGGCGGATGATCTACTTGAATAAGGCAGTCTATCAACACATGCTTGGTGACGTGATGCGGTCGGTGGCACCGTGGTTGGCCGCTATATTGAACGCTGGACGCTACCGGGTTTTGTTGTACAGCGGACAGCTTGATATCAAGCTCCACCACCGGGGCACCATGCGCATGGCCCAGTCGCTAGAGTGGTCGGGCGCGGAACGATTTCGGAGCTACCCATCGCGCACCATATGGCGTGTTTGCGAACGGAAGAATCGATGCGACAACGGAAACGAGACCACCGTGGCCGGTTACGCGACTGCGTCCGGTCCTCTAACCGTGCTGTTGGTCAGGGATGCCGGTCACATGGTGCCAGCCGATCAGCCAGTTTGGGCTCTCGAACTCATCAACCTGTTCACGGCAGACAAATCGTTTCGACCTACAGGATCATTTATGATCTAAATTCTAAGTATTGACATGTTCTGTGGAATTTATCTAGAATCTGTGATAGAGATAATGGTGGTAGTATGAACGGTAACCATATAATATAAATAAAAATATAACGCCGCTTAAAAATCATCATGGACCACCTGAGTTGACTCAACTTTTTGGAGGGAATAAAAATCCATTTCTTTCCTAAGAATTCTGAAAGTTGGTATCCTTTTGATCCATATTATTATATTGACTTTATAACCTGTACTAAAAATATATTTCCAAAAACAGAATTTTTACTAAAAATTCATGAGAATCGCCTTCATATTGTATTATTCGAGATTTTGATACAATTTCGATTGTTTACGGCAAACATGTCATGTTTCAAAAACGGAAATTATAATATAAAAATGCAGAATTGATTTTTTAAGTAATGCATCATGATGGTTCTTTAGTGACGATATATTATTTCTGCGTGCAATTAATCACCGCTCAGTTACTTAATCGCGCTCTCTCATGACGTATAATGTAAGACTTACACTGTATATTGTAATATAGATAGGGCTGGTCTATAAGTATAATGTCTATAGGTACGTTTTCCCTGCAGCGTCTGGATGCGGCGTCTAGCTTCACTACCGGTCTGGACGTAGGTCGACGTCTGACGAGGCCGTGCTGTTCCACTGTTTGACGCTGCAAGGAAACCGTAGCTTATGGGTATTATAGAATCGATATTAAATATTGTTGGAGATCGGACATCTGTGTACGATGTTAAGACTTAACAACAATACATAATATTATAAATCTGTATATACTACAATTATTACAAATCATTCTTATCAATGTAGTACCTATTGCAAAAATTCAATATTGTAATTTTGTATAAATTAATATATAATATTTTAATACCTGACATCTTATTCAATTTTTATTTAAAATGGAATCAAAACTATGATAAAAAATAAGACATTTTATAATTTTTTTGATGTGTTTATTTAACTAGGATTTTTTGATAAGATTTTTTTTTTTGGTTTTTTTTCTGTTGACTTTTTTTTCACCTACCCTTAGAGAGGCATAAATCGAATGATACATATATCTATAAATATTCGTAAAATGTCGACCCTCGTGCTTGCGTTTGAACAAATGTTACTACGTTGTTTTATAATGGAATATAATTTCGTGTATCCGATACCTAATAATAACTTCGGTGGCGATGGTCTTCTCACCATACATTTTTATCGAAACTCGATGGTGGAAGTAACGCGGCAATTCGTTTATATTTATTTTTTAATTTTGTCTTTTTTATAAATATACTAGCTGATCCCGTGCACTTCGTTGCCCGGCAAACAATAATTATTATTATAATAGCTTCAAAACCCATGGCAACCATTTATAAACAAAAATTTCCATCGGAAATCTCAAAATCCCTGTTTGAGCACCTTCCGGGATTGGTCCTCTCCCTTTTTAAATTAATCTATCTTCTGCCCAGATGTCTAAACTATCTATACCTATATATATCTAAATATCTAATCCCGTGCACTTCGCTGCCCATTAAAAATACCAACTCTATATAAATGATATGTTTAACATATTACTATGGCAACTATTTATATATAAAAAATTCCATCTAAAATCTCAAAATAATATATGAATGGTTACCATGGTAATATGGACACATAGACACTCATACATACATTAATTTATATATAATATATACATTAATAAAATTATAAGACTATTTAAAATTGTTTTCATTTATATTTTATATTTTTACCTATGGTGAAACAATATCAGCGGGAGGGGGGTGATTGAACTTGATTAGATAGGTACATAAAATAACATAGTAGGTTATACGAAGTAGAAATTATCAGTGCGTTATATTTTCAGTAATACCTACAACCTACTTGACAATCGGTGTGAGCGTATACTAATAAATAAAAATTCATCACAATCGAAATTTTTTTTTTGTTTAAATACCTCTATAACTTTATAAGATATACCATATAAGTCTAATAAATATTAGTTTCACATGATTGTTAACTAAGTGTTCACCAGAAATCACAATACAAATTACACAACCGTACCATATTATATACATTATGTATAGGTAAGTGATCAGATGTATTCAAATATTATATATATTTGAACTAATAAGTAATAAGTATTAAATAATAACCTGCAATACAATATGTATTTACTTGTTTTATTATATAAGAGAAATCCAGAAGGCAGATAGTAAAGTAGAACGTCCTCAAAACCCAAGATGTAATGCAAATATTTTTGAAATCATCACATATAGGTAAATAAATTAAAACAATATAGGTAAGTACATACTTGGACGTATTTTAGTCGTTAAAATATTATGCCCGTATGTTAAAACACGGAATGATCGATACAATTAGGCTGGAATAAAATATGGAATGTCTTGTTGTGAGCAGTGCACTGGTGTAATGGTTAAATTACTAAACATTTCAAACGTAATGTGATTCCGGCTAAGTTATAATATATCTGTTATGAGGATAATAAGACAACAAGCCGAGAAAAAGATACTAACTAGCCTATACAATTATATTAACGATAGTGTGAGCAAGATATAATCACTTTGAAACAGTTTGAATTCTAAAATATTTCAAAGTGCTTATTACAATTAATTATGTTATGCGTTAATATCCAAATTAGTCAAATTTTAAACTAGTTACATTATAATTTTTAATAATTTAAAACAATCAGTATCAATATAAAACTACATAGGTGTAATTTTAAAATTACTTAATGATGAGTTGTATATAATGTATAGATAGAGATATAGTGAAAATCTACCTAACGATGGTTAATCCTGTTAAATACGTGTTTAAGATAAGATTATATTTATACAGGTTAAACTACGGTTAGGCCATAGTCTGACCCAATATTGATGGATAACATTCTTACGTCACGAAAAATTTAAAATTAAAATTAAAAACTTATTTTGTAATAGAATTTATTTTCATATTAATTATCATTTGGTCTGTGCTAATTAAATGTTTTAGTTCCTGTTATGTTTATATTAATATTCAAAAGAGCTGAGCTGGTACTCAAAAACATTATTTTTTTTTAAGTCAAAATAAACATTCTATAAGTTTTGAAATTAACACTATTTAGGTATATGTTTGGTTTCTTGATAATTGGTGCTTGTGTTTATGTTTATGTTTGTACATGATAACTAGCCACTAGGTACATTTCAAAAGTAATCATAATGTTGTAATGCCGATTAATTTAAAACTAGTCATGGTTAAATTTAAATTAAAAATGGTAACCTGTATTTTTAAGTTATATCAACAATAAGTACTTTATGTGTACCTATGCTTAGTGATTTATTCAACTAAGTAGTTGCCTTTATTTTCTAAAACAATAAATGTGTTTTGGAAAAAATGTTTTTGTGTACCTAACTAGTAAAAAAACTAAATACCTACTTTATTTATGATTTTATGGAAAAAAAATTAATTTATGATCAAACTGATTTTAAGCTATTATTTGATTTATTTAGTTGGATGTCAAACCTATTAAAAATAGGACGGCAAAGGGATTTAAAAGAAATAGATTTGTATACTACATTAGACGATCACACATCATCATCATTAGGCGATCAATTAGAAAAGTAAATCAACAATAATGTACTGTTATATTTCTTATTAATACCTTGAGGTAAATTGGCATTTTTTTTGCACATATTTAGAACATGGAGATCGGAGTTAAGCAATGCAAATTTAGCGAATCGAAAGCCGACATTGTTGAGAGCTTTGATCCGAATGTTTGGTGCTAAATATATGTTCCTAGGAATCGTATTTTGCATACTAGAAATTATTTTCAAGTAAGAATTTAATATTTTTTACAACTTATAGATTAAATTAACTAAACTAATTATGATATATTGACATTGATCATCTGCATTATTAAACATGATTTCTAAATAAAAATGTAGCATCTCATGATTTTTAGAGACACATATTTATTTGGTACTTTAATTTATTATGTTACAAACAATTTTACATATTTTAGTTACCTATCATAGTATTCTGAGAAATTTTATCTGAATGAAAATAATATTTTATATCCTCTCAGGGGCAGGATTACAAAATGTGGGGCCCCGTGTAAAATAATATAAAATAATATTTTGTTGAATTATACCTACTTAAATTATTAAAATATTAAATTACATAATGCATTTATAAAATGTTTTAAAACTTATATTGTACTGTGGATATATTCGATTTTATGTTTAAATGCTGTAAGCCCTTTAAGTAAAAATCTCAGTACCTACCTAATTAGGTCTTACGTTGTTTATTCTCTTCAAAGTATTGTAAATTTTTAATATTGTTAAACATTTTTTTAGATTTTTTGAATTTTTGTAGATATATAAAATAAAATTTTAAATAAAGGTCAGATACAGATGGTACAGATGTCACAGAACTATTATTTCAACTGCAGTTGCATTACTTACAGTGGCTTACGAAATAACTTAATTTATTATTACTATCATTATTATTATTATTATAACTGTTTGGTGTCCTCTGGTAACTAGGTAGTTACATGTTTATAAAATGTTCAATTTTTGTAGCTTTGAGGATAGAAATTTAAAACAAGATTTCTCATAAGTAAACAGTAGAACTATATTGTAAACAAAAAAAAGGTGGGCAAGTGGGTGTCGCTCTGCTGTACAGTAGGTTACAAGTGGGTCACTGTATAATGGATGATATTAAATTTGAATTCAACGATATAATATCATTGTATAAGAAAAACGATTCTGAGCGGAGACGGTATGTCAGTCTATGTATAAGACATATTATATACATATCTATGGTATTAAACAAAAAATTGACCTATAATAGGTACCTATAATAAATTCTAAATTAATCATATCACAATGTCCATTAGGTACTTATAACGCGTTATATATCAACAAAAACCGTGATACTATCATAGATATATAATAGTACACTTTAGAAGTTTCAAGTACCCACGAATAATATTATTCAATCACAACAAAATAACTA